AATGTATAACACATAATAGCAAATAATAATAAATAATAAATAATAAATAATAAATAATGAATAATAAATAACAAATAAAATAAAAAACTAATATTTATTATAGCAACATTTATCCCAATGTCAAATCGATTCCGATCGACTCTTGTTCAACTTACATCTCAATAATTAAAGATAGCGATAAACCGTCGCTAACAACGGTACAAAATACGGTGGCAACTATCGGGAATCGCGGCGCGGCGCATCAGCATCGTGGTGAGTCTTTTAACGAGGAGAAACCACGGATCGATGCGGTTAATCCAGCGCGGCGGAGACGGTATCGCCTGATTGCGGCTACGACGTCACGCGGACTGCTGCTAAGGTACGGAGCCAAGGCGAGCGAGCGGTCGGCTCGGACTCGGATAGATGGCTATACGGTGGTAACGGTACCGAATCTGCATACACCGTACCGTATATACACGTTTACGCCGCGCCGCGCGCGCACTCGGCGCTATCGGGGAACCGCATCATGCTAATTCGCATCCTCCGCCGGCCGTTGAGATTCTCTCGCGCGGATCGTTCCTCGCCGGGACCACGGGCGTCCCGGTTTCGCTCGCGAAACCCAGCCAGGTCGATACGCGCGGCTATTCCCATCTGTCCGGTTTTCTCCTTGTGGAATACGCCGTTCCCGCGAGCGATCCTTTGGTCCGTTGATTTCCGGAGGATAAATGTGTTAGATATCGATAAAACAATAAATTAATGGACGGCATGCATATGAAATGTGTATGCCTGCGAGCGAAAGCGTGTATTAACACAAAATAGCAATATATAAATGAACCGCACATAAAATATGACAATTAAATACAGGCACACACATATATGTATACGATATTGTAGACAAAAAAATTAAATATCGGATCTAATATTTCGATTAAAAATATCTCTTTTGAGATTCTTTTTCCCTTCTTATACTTTTCTTATGCACTTGGGCTAATTTTATTCTTTCTTATTCTGTTAACTTTTTATTTCATTGATTTGTCGATCCTCGTCGCTTTGCCGTTTCCACAAATGCTCATCTATAATTTTCGTACACGATTACGATTTGGAGAAGGCGGGTCGAGATGTCGGCGAAGGAAACAGAGAGAAAAAAAGGAGTGCAGTGTCGCGATGAATCACTCTCGGCAATATCGGACAATCTGGACAAGCTCACCCGCATGCTCAGAACATGTTTATCTCCGATTTCGCGTGTCAACTTTGCGTCATTGTATGCGATTTCCCTCTCTTTCTCATCGCCTCATCGTCGATGCATCGATATCGCGGAAGTGCGGCGCCGCTGTCCGGAGCGCGGTTAAATGGGACTTTCGTCGATCCCTCCTCGCGCTCTGGAGGGGGACGACAGTGGACCCTCCCGTCTGGATCCCTCATGTGGATCCCTTTCGCGAAGAAAGGTGAGAGCGGAGAGGGATGGGACCGGAACGACGTACGGAGAGGCGAATAGAAAGAGAAGCGACGAGATGGAGAAGGAAGGAAGAGAGAGGAAAGCAGAGCCCATTCCTTCGTTAGAGCCGCGGGGCGGAGGTTGGCATCCAGGCGCTTCTCAGCGGGGCGCCGTTTCTTCGAGTCTCGGCTCTCTCGAGCAGGAGAATCTCGTACGTGAAAGACTCCCTTTCTCGCTCCTCATCTTCTTCGTCGTCGTCGTCGTCGTCGTCGTCTTCTTCTTCCTCCGTGACCGCTGCTTCTCGTCCGTTCTCCGTTTCGCTTTTAACGTGCCACCCTCTCCTGATCCCGCATCACCGCGCTAGTCTCTCTCGCGAGCTAGAGCGAGCGGTCTTTCTCTCGCACTCGCCGTCTCGCTCTCGAGTCGCTATCTCTTCCGAGAACACGAGCGCTGCATCGCGCCGCGTCGGTATACGCCGTACGTACGCCTACGCGTTGTTACGATCGTCGCAATTTGCCGGGGTACGTCCTAGACGGTGTTCCCTTTCGGCTGAGGGGTTTAAGTGTGCTCTCAATGCTCTCGCTCTCTCGGTTCCGCGTTCCGTAGATCGAGAGTCCTCTAGAATGTCATCGAAGCTGCGTCGTCCTCTTAAGATTCGCGATCATTTTAGTCTGACGCTATTAATATTACATTAATATTAATAACTGAAAAGACAGCGTACACGGAAACGTACATAAGTGCCAAAAATAAAAGTATGAGACAGATAAAAGTAATGCATTATTTACTTAAAAAAAAAAAAAATACAAAAAGATGTCTTATAATCTTTACGTTAATTCTGTATTTAATATTTTTATAAAACAGATAGTTCTTTGTACACTTATCGAATTTAGTATTTAGAATCTTCTTTTACGAGAAAAGTAATTTTCTGGAAATATATAACTTATCTTGCCTGGTGCTTTACATCTTTAATTGATATATATTATAAATGATAGTTATTATTATAACATAATGTAGCAGTATAAATAGTGATTATTGCTAATTTAAAATTTCTAGGAAGAAGACAGACAAGTTGCGAAATTATTATTCTAAATTACGCGTGGAAAAGTCCAACCTTGAGACGCCTCAAGTTTCCACGTATCCAACGAGCTGCACGCATTTAAATAATTCACGTTATTCGCTTCAATACTCGAGAAGTTGAGGCGCAGATTTGCGAAGGCTCGTCGGCAGCTCGTTCCGGTCGCCTCGTTTTCAGCATTGTCACGCGCACGCGTTGCCCCGTCATTTGCCAATTATCGCGAGTGAAAGCACACTCGAGTAACGCGAAGTAATTGCGTTACGCGGACAGATGAGCGCAATCGCATATACGCTCGCACGGCGGACAATCGCGCAAGAACACGCGCGGTCGTTACTCAACAGAGTAATCGCGTCGTCGTCCACCTCGTCCTCCTCCTCCTTTTCGTATGTGTGTACGTGTTAGTCCGCGCGGCGGAAAAAATGCGCGGTCCGGTAATAATCGCGGTAATCGCGCCCCGGAGAATGCGGCAGAGGCACGTTTATAAGTACGTAACGGTTTGCAGGACATCTCGCATGATCGCGCACGGAAAGGCACGGACGTCGCTCGCGATCGAAGCCCGTAAGGAAGTCACCGATCGATAACCAAAACCGCGAAGAAAATCCGCGAAGAACGAATCTTAATCTTAATCTCGTTATTCGCGAAAGAAGAAGACTCGTTGGAAGAAAAATAAACACAGAATTAAAATTATTTATAATATAAAATATTTATCTAGCTAGATTTAAATTTAATTAAGTTCATGTAGACCGCGTCATGTTCGAGTGTACAAAGTTTATGACGTGATATATTTATTGAATAAATGTATAATAAACGTAATTATTTTAAGTGAAGTCACACAATTGCTATAAGAAAAGATATAACGTTTTTATTAGACATGCTGATTGTAACAATCATTATTCCAGATTGCAATATTGAACACTTCTGTCTTGCGAAAAGAATAGCATAATACCTAATGCAGCAAAATTACAAATTCTCTCAATAACGCACGTGTCTCGGCAAAAAGCGGTAACTCCGTAAAAAAGGTAAATCCGTCGAAATAGTATGCCTAGAATTGCAGCGGGCATTAACCTCAATGATACGACGATGATGAGGATAATGATGATGATGATGACGATAATAATGGTCGGTCGATGAACCGGCACGGCCGCGCCGCGCCGGCACAGCTTTCGGCGAAATTTGTACGGCTGCGATCGAATCGGCCGACACCGGCGGCGTCTCTCGTGCGATCGTATTTGCGTGTACTTGAACGTGCCGCACGTTATGGCACGTACCGCGCGGCGTGTATTTGCCTTTGCACAATATTTGCAGGCACTCGAGAGTATCGCCGCGAGAGACTCATCCGGGTTCCGGTACAGGTGTCGTGCCTTCTCCCGTGGTCATTCGCGTCGCCGTGCCGGTGACTTCTTGGAAGTGGCTAGCGCACGTAGCGAAGTAGTGTACGCGGATAAATGAGTGGCGTTATGTATCCCCCCAGCTAAATCCTCCGTTGCGAGGCACGAATTGCTCGAACGGGTCTCTCTCTTTCTCTCTCACGAAGTGGACCGTTAGCCACGCGGTGGTTGGCACACGAGCGAAGTCCGAGGAGAGGACCTGGACCTCCGTTCGTTACGTCACGCCTGTCTGATGAGGATGATCGCCCTGGGCGACATAGAAATTCGCGTTATAGACGTGCATGGCGCAATCCGTTTGTCAGATTTTTTGATCGCGCTGATCGAACGAATGAGCAAAAGTGCCCTTGGTGCTTAGGGGGGTATTCAAGGATACGACGACCGTTGATACTTTATGCTTAATCAAGGTTAACGGTACGTGCTCGTCGCTAAATCGCGCGCGTCTGATTCTTATCTCGCGTTGACGCGTTCAATGTATGAAACATTGATACAATAATTTATACGTATACCGATAGTGAATGGATATGTATCTCTGAAAATGAGCTAGGTACGGTTTAGATATAGATATTTCAACCAGGGATATTGCGTTACCGAAAAGTGAAAGAGCCCGTTTCTCCTTTATGCCGGAGTCGCGAACTCGATGACGCGTGACTGCATAGATAAATCTTATTGCGCAACAGGCTTATCAGGCTCCCCGCGTACGTTGAAATTTTTCTAGAAACCTCGAGACAGTTTAAGAAAGGGATGGATGAAGGTCACGCGTAAAACTAGGACGAGTTAAAGCGCGTTAGCGTTAAAGCGAGATGTACAATTACAAATAATTTATGAAAGTTACATTTGAAAACTTCTACATTTTGTACCTTTAAAGAGAGAGATGTAAGAAATAAGATTGCAGTTTTGATATATTTTATATTTTTCATCTGTTATCTTTCTAGCTCTTCACATGTAATACTTCCAAGACGTTCGGATTCCGCAAGCTCGATCGCTTCAACTAACTTCGCCGTCTTGATCCGTAGACCTCGGGACAAGACGGTACAGAGACCGTACCGTGTAACGTGAAAGCGAGATCAGCAACTTAGGTAGAGGCGAGTCTTCACATTATCAAACGACGTCTTCTATTTTTCAGCTGTGCAGAGGGGGCGAGTGCCGACGTCGCAACCCTCGCTGCCGGGTCTGCCGGGCCAGTTCGCCCTGACGAACGGGGACGCGGTCGCGTGTGCCAGCCTAAACGGACACTCTTACCTCTCGTCGTATATAAGCCTGCTGCTGAGGGCGGAGCCCTATCCGACCTCGAGATACGGCCAGTCATGCATACAGCCCCCCAACAACATCATGGGTATCGACAATATCTGCGAGCTCGCGGCGCGGCTGCTCTTCTCGGCGGTCGAGTGGGCCCGGAACATCCCGTTCTTCCCGGATCTTCAGGTGACGGACCAGGTGGCCCTGCTCAGGCTAGTGTGGAGCGAGCTGTTCGTCCTGAACGCGAGCCAGTGCTCGATGCCCCTCCACGTGGCGCCGCTTCTAGCGGCGGCGGGCCTTCACGCCTCGCCGATGGCGGCGGACCGCGTGGTCGCCTTCATGGATCACATCAGGATCTTCCAGGAGCAAGTGGAGAAACTCAAGGCGCTCCACGTCGACTCCGCGGAATACAGCTGCCTCAAGGCCATCGTCCTCTTCACCACCGGTGAGTCTGAGATTATTATTCGATCGCTCTAGTCTCGGTTTTTAACTTGAATTATAATCTACTTAAATACTCCCTCCCTCTATTTCAACAAAAATATATGATGATAAATTGTGATTCGTCATAATTCAAAATACTTTTAAAAATAGATCCGTGAGTTTTATTAAAAAGTCTTAGTTCTGCATATTCCCTGGAAGTTTTTTTTTCAAGCTTTGTCAAGCCGTCGTTCTTTTTGTCGAAGAAGAAAGACTTACTTTACGATACATATAAGACATTATATCTCATGAAATATTATCTAGACATCACGAGCGCACGATGACAGATTCGTCATAAATTCCTTTTGAAAAACGCGTCGGGAGAGCTAGAAAACCATTCGCGTTTGTGCGTCTAGCACGAGCCGTGGATCTTGACGACGTATTCCCTACGCACAACGATACTTCGGTCGTCGTCCGTATTACCCGCGTCTGCCTGCCTGTCCCGCCTATAATCGTCATGACGATGCTATCTCGAAGATGCTCGTTGTCACGTAGCCGCGATCCTCGACGGGCCTAGAGAAGCGCGCTAGCAGCGCACCGAGAGGGACAATGCTCTTTCTCTTCCCCCCGATCGCGAAGCCTCACGGTTCCTGTACCACATACCGGGTGGCAGGAGAGCGTGCGCCGGAAGAACTCTCCGAACGTAAGCGGAGAGTGGTTCTCTCTATTTCCCCCCTCTCTCTCTCTCTCTCTCGCTCTCTATGTCTCTCCAGAGGAGATGTACGCTTTCTCGACGTCGTCCGTCGCTCGCTGACCGCGGGCACCGTCTAATCGACGTGGCAGAGATATTATCGCCGCCGGTACGCCTGCGACTGTCATCCAGCGCGATCCCCGTCGGGACCAGGAGACGACGGCGACGGGATGACGACAATTCACTGACGTAACAATGTGTAACGCCGCAGCGACGTCGGCGGCGGCGACGACGCGGACGTACGTAGGTACGTACGTACCTTCGTTGTGTCGCGATCGTCATCGAGCCGTTGAGACAATGCGTTTCTCCACTTCCCTCTGTCCGTCTCCCGCCGCAACGTGTTCTCGCTCCCCGAAGCCAATCTCTAGTCCCCGGTATCTATCTCCTCCCTTTTCCCTCTATCTCTCTCCCTCTTTCGTCGCATCCGATGACAACCGCATCCTGTCCGAACGAGCGCTCGCGCGAGCTATCTCCCGGCCCATCTGCTCCTTTCTCCAGGAGGAACCACCACCATCGCATATACGCATCACGTATACACCGAGAGGATTTCGGACCGGGCGATCCTCTCTTCTGCCGGTGTGTTCTCTTGTTGGATACGTGCACGCACGTTCGCACGCACACGACTCGCGACCGGGCGGTAGGTTTCAGTCAGGGGGGGTCGACGAGAACGATGAGGAGAACGGCGGCGGTGGCGGCAGCGGCGGCGGCGGCGGCGACCACGACGATGGCCCATGCTAAAGCATCTCGCCGTAGATACGAGACGGGGGGCTATTTATTTCCGTGCTATATGGGCACGCTTAGCTCGGCTTAGCTTATGCTAATGTCCCCATTCTCGGGGAACCACCTCTACCTCCTCCTTTTTGCCCCGCTCGACTTTTTCTATTCTTTCTGCGCCCGAACGCGATCGTCGGACCTCCACGTCCTTTTCTTCCTCGCGTATCCTTGCTATATGGGTGAGCCTTTCTTCACTATTCTTTCTTACGACTTAAAGTTTAACGCTTAAACGTGCAGCTCAGCTTATGTGCAATCTTTTTTAAATGTAATTATATTTTTATGAGCGTAGGATGCAGCTTGTGTATGCTTTGATGAATAGATCAGAAAAGTATTTCTTTGACTAACTTGAGGTTCAAGATATTAAATAAGAATATAATACAAAAAATATAGAATATGAATGTAAAGCTTTGATTGATTCCCTTCATTATTAAATCTCAAATAAAAATTTTGTAGAAGTGAAAGTTGATGAGACATGAATTAATACTAAAGTTTCATTAATTGTTTATAACGTTGAAAGTTTAGTTTACGAAGAATTCATTTTCAATGATTTGTTATTCAAAAGCAGAAATATTTTACGGATCTATATTTTCTGAAAAATATTTTTTTATCTCTATTCTTATACATCTTTACAGTACTATTTATAATTTTTAAAATATATGATAAGATGCCAAAATTTGGTTTTTTTATTTACAATGGACATTTGAAAATGTCAAATCCTATTTCAAAAAGATTTCAAACATCAGATTTGAAAAGGTTTTAAATAGTCACTTTTAATTTATTGATAACTCACACACGCACAAGTTAGGAATAAATATATTGATTAATAAATTTCCGATAACATATCGTAATACATCGTCACGTGTTGATAATGCCGACAACCGACTCGAGATAATTAGCTTATTACTCATTACAGTTAAGAGATTAAAGGGATTACATTATTGGAAGGTTAAAAAGCGAATGGGCCAGGACACATCATCTTGTTCAATTTAACATGATAGAAGGCAAAAGCGTGGAACGGTTTGTAACTCGCGGTCGTGAATGAATTCGTTTGAAATGAAAAGTAGAATAAATGTTCGCACGTACCGTAGCACGTTATTACGCTAATCGAGGTGTGTCACTTTAGCGAAACGTAGAAATAACGAATGCGAAATGTATTATTAATTGTACCGAGGCCGGTATGCGGTTTTAAGATTGCATTACGAGATAATGAACGATCGCCGCTCAAACTTTTGCTCCGTACGCTTTATATTATATAGATAGAAGCGTTTGATAATTAGCGTTTGATAGTTAATCCGATCGTGAAAAACATCTAATGTCGCGATAACGATTATCTCAACCGGTCTGATATGCAAATTGCTGTTACCAGAAAACGTACGTCATAACACTTTATGTCAAGCCGTTTAAATCATCTCGCAACTTCCCGCTGTCCAATAATTGAATTGTTTTTGTTGGGCACAAGAACTTGTATCACAAGAACCGAATGATTGATCTCACTTACAATAAAATCGAACACAATCCCGCTACAGATTCCTCATTAGCGTATATTTCTATTCATTAGTTTATTACCGTTACAATTGTATTGGTGATTGCGTAAGACTATATTTATGATTACTTTCTATTTATGAAGAAAATAAATAATGAGGAGGATTAACGTTGAGCTTCTTACGTTAATTAAGATACATATTTATTTATCGGGATTGAATCAACTCAATTATAAAAGTTACGTCAGCCATATCTGATCACGAGAATGGTAGCCGAAACGAACTCGTGCCTTTCGCGTTCCAATATCTATCGGTATTTTAATACATGTGTTTAGCGTTGCTTCGGGAAGACCTCGTGCGATTACGGTACGTTACGTGTCGCGTGTAATTGACGTGAAATTAGCGTGTCCGGCGGCGCGAGCGCGGCTAAATTTCTTTCCTGCTTCCTTTCTCTCTCTTTCTCCTCTGCAGCCGGGAATTCCTCTCCGCCCGGCCCGTGAGATGGAGGGTTGCGACTTTTTTTCGTACACCCCGTGGTCCGCGTCGGACCACGTGTCTAATTGTTCGGATAAAACGGCGGAACGAGGGCACGGTGCATAAAGTACGTTTAGCTCGCTAAGATCGGCCGCCTCTCAGCTTTCTCCGATGTTGTGCAGTATGCACGAGATATTGCATACCCGGTGGTCCAAAACATTCGAGCGCGCCGCGCCGCGCCGCCGCTTGAATAATCGTCGCCCGAGATCATTACGTCCACGACGTCGATACATCGGCCGTAATTACACGGGAAAAGGAGCTCGCCCGCGCCACGATAGCTCGCTCTCTCTTAGCTAGAGAGACCTTTAATTGCAAGAATAACCGGCGCTGCCATTTATCCCCGCGGTCAGTAATGTTTCCCGGGAATCTCACGATCAATTTTCAGACGGCTATTTCGCGTCGCGTTGCAAAATCGAGTGTCGAAAAGAAGACAATGCTGATATTTTTCTTAAAAGTTAATTTATTTTTTCTGTATAAAATATAGAATTTTAATTAACTGTGATAAATAAAATTCTAGACGGAATTATATATCCTTCTCTGCTTCTTAGAATAAAAATTCGAGGCGCAAGCTTTATCATTCTCTCGTCCCTTCGCACCCTTAACTCGCGAGAAATCTCGTCGTGAAGAAAAACGCGAGACCCGCGCACGAATCGTTATCAGCCGTCCCGCTTTCCGCTCAAGATTAGGATGGTCCGATTTGCCTCGAAATCCAAGCTACCTTGGTTTAGGATCGGTCGCATTATCTCGGCGTGCGCCGCGCCGAGCCACCCCGTAGAGACGGGGCATGTAAATGTGCGCGGCGCGGATATATTTATGCGAGAGAGGGTATTACCGGAGCCCCCGCGCGCGAGCGAGTGTGCGGTACCTACGTGTATCTTGATGGGAAACACTCCCACGATTATGTGGCATGCAATGCAATTCCCTCTACCTCTGCCTTGCCCAACAGCCAGCAAACCATCGCGCGAGCGAGCCTGACGAGCGGACGGGCGTGTTGCTGGTGATACGCCGCCGCTGGTACGTTGCGTTTCTGCGCGCGCGGATGCCACCGGTATTTAACGATCTAATTAAGAACGTAAGCCCAACGGGGGACAGCCGACATCGTCCTCCACGTGAGAGAGAAAGGGAGGGAGAGATGTAGATCTCGCGGGGCATCTCTGCGGCGCTCCGACTACTTCCGGCTACCTACGCGTTGACTTTTTACCGCGCGTGTTCGAAGGCGCTCAATGTATTATACATCTCGTCGATGCTAATGAGCGAAAAGAAGGATTGGACAATTGGATGGAGAGATAATTATTGATGAACGGGTACTTCGGTATGTTATATAGTATTTATTTGGACGGGGATTTAAGATTCTTCGGTTGAAATATTTTGATTTTTAGGAATCGTGTAAATTATACTTAAATCTCGCAGCTCGTTATCAATAATTTCTCGATTGATGTCAAATTTAATCATCAGAAGAGATCTCAAAATTATTTTATAATAAGAGAT